CGCCCCCTCTGCAAGCGACGGGGACAGCCCCCAGCCACTGTCCCTTCCCTGCCTCAACTTCCTATGCGGGATCTGGGGCGCCTGGGGGAGCTCTTTCTCCAGGCGGGCATCCCTAGTAAATCTCCCCCACGGATTAACAGTTCTGTCTGTCAGCCCCACTCCCCAGCCCCTGGGGTGCTTATTCTGTAACCCCCCTCAAAAGGGGGGGGCGGACCGGAAGCATAGCTTTAGCTGTCTCTGGGCCCAGCCTACCTGTTGGGTGATCCGGAGTCACTGTAGTGGGAGGACAGCGAGGGGCTGTGGGAACTGCCGCTGCTGTGACGGTGGGACCTCTGGCCTGGGGACTCTGTGTGAGGCCTGGTGTAGGGGAGGGGATCAGCCTGTTCTTAAATTCTGCCCACCTTGGCCCCTGAGGTTACCTGACCTGCCCACAGGGAACCCGTGAAGGCCTGATGGAGGTCACTTCTGCCCCAACACGCCACTTTCCTACAAAATAACCCTGAATGGGGCTAACGCTGGGTACAGAGCCCAGCTGCTCCCTACAGGTCATCTGTGAAAGTCAGAATGAGCCACAGTTCTGACTTTCAAAGAACTCATTGCCTCATGTTCTCATGACTGGTGAGGGGCAGGAGAGTCACTAGGGCTTGGCCAGAAATGACCTCAGGCTAGGAGGCAAGGGGCCTGCCACCAGCTCTGGGAGGACTCCCGGCTTCTGCTTAGGGTCTTTTTTTTTTTTTTTTGGTTTTTAGAGACAGGGTCTCACTGTGTAGTTGAGACTGACCTGGAACTCACTATGTAGCCCAGGCTGGACTCGAACTCACAGAAATCCTCCTGCCTCAGCCTACCGAGTGCTAGGATTACAGTTCCTCTTAGGGTCTTAATTTTTCCATCTGGGCAAAGTGGACACAACAAGTGGTCTATCTTTGAGGGTCAGATTCTGGGGTGCTAAAAGGCTGGGTTTGCTGTTGGAGGGTGTGGGAAGGGTGCTCACCTCTTCCTCTCTTTGTTCTTTTCTTTTCTTTTGCTCTTGGGGCTTCGAGATCTGCAGGAAGCAGAGACCACGGTAATGGTACAACCTGAGCAGAGCAGGGGTGGGTGTGGCTTGGAGCCGAGCTCAGCCCAGGTGTGGACTTAGCTTTGTCCCTCTCTCAGGCCTGAGCCTCCTGGCTGCCAGGGACCACACCCATCTTTTTTTTGCAGAACCAGCACCCTCACGCCTCACCTCATCTGGCCAGCTAGAAGGGTGGTGAGCTCCTGATGAGCTCCTGTGGGAGCTCCACCCCTCCTTCAGTCCCTGTGTCCCTTCTCAGCCTGTGACTCATCCCGGGCCACTTCATCACAGTTTTGGGAAAGAAATGCTTTTCTTTGGGCCTGGTCTCCTGCTTCTGAGTGACTCTTCTAGAGGGATCCATACTTGGGGGTTATCCCCAAAGCTGCCCACTTCATCCCATACAGCTCTCTGGGGCAGGCTGTGCAGCCCAGCACCTTCTGTCTTTGACACAGAGGTCAAAATGCTTCTGATTAGGCATGAAAGTTCTCTCCCTCCCCCACTACCTCCCTGATGTCACCTCAGCCCCATCCTCCCTGGTGCCACCAGATCCCTTCTAGTCTTTTTGACCCCAAAACAAAGCAATGCAAAGAAACACTAAGATATGCTTCCCACAGGAGCAGAGAGAATAAGGGTCAGGCCTGGGAGGCCGAGGAGCTCATGCTTTGTGCCTCAGTTTCCCCTGGGCCTTTGTGTGGTCCTAGCTCTTTGAGATCTTCTCCATGGATCTAGAATGGACTCATGAATGTAGGCCAGAGAGGCTGTGCAAGCTCATGGTGACCACTGGGTAGCAGTATGGACACACGCAGACCGATAGACACCGGGAATGGTGAGAAATTGGGGGAAATTGGAGGAGCAGGTTTAGGTGTTTATTTAGGCTCCTCCCCTAACTGACAAATGGTTGGTGGCAAATTCCCACTGCAGGGAAGGCACTGGGGACTCTGCCCTTCCTCAGGGCTGCTAGGAGCGGGTCTGGGGATGTGATTAACCCACAACTTTGTAGCCTCATTCTGAATTTCATAAAACCCCTCTGCTTCTCTTGGGCCACCCTGGCCTCTTACCAGGCCTCTCCCCTCATCATCTCCCATCCCCCAGTCTGTCCTGACTAAGTCATTGTCCTGGTTAAAGCCCTACCTGGGTGGAGGCTGGGAGGCCAGTTTCCCTGCTGGGCAGTCAAACCTGTCAGAGGTTGGCACCAGCCCACCTCCCAGAAACTCTACATCCTCCCCAACCTGCTTTCTCTTTTACCAGCTGTGCCCCTTTCTGGCTTCCATGCCGCTTCTCTGCAAGTTTGGGGTCCAGATGGCACCTCCGCCTAGGTACTTGGTGTCCATGGGGCCCCCACATCAGGGCAGACTTCTAGGGTTGGAACCATTGGTCTGCATGCCCCTCTGCTCTCCCTTGTGGGCTCAGTCCCTGGAGCTGGAGGACGGAGCTGGGCCAGACTCTTGCACAGCCCTTCTTGTCATTGCTTCCTGTGGGCCTTGGCCCCTGAAGGGAACCTAGCTTCTGTCCACCTGCTCTGCAGGGCACTGCTCACCTGTGCCGTCTCTTCCTCCGGGACCCAGAATTGGACCTGTGGGGTGACAAAGGAGCTCTTATGAGCTTGCCTGGGTAGCCCTGGTGGATCCAGTGAGTCCCAGCCCACGGAAGTGAGAAGAGGCCACAGGGAGGGAGGGCCAGTGGGTACCTGTCTCGGCGGCGCTTCTTCATGCCCTTCTTCTTCTTGCGCAGAGGTGAGGTGCTCCCACAGCTGTGGACAGATGAGGGAGCAGCTCTAGTGAGCTGGGGTTTGGGGGTGCAGCTGGGAGAGGGCCTGCGGTGTGGAAGCTGAGAAGAGAATTTCAGGGCATGGAGCCCAGAGTGACCTGAGGCCCAAGGATGGAATAGCAAAGGCCCTAAGGGTAGTTGATGGATGGCCTTGCCTGTGTTGTCCCTTAGCCAGCTTCTAAGTTCCCTGGTGTTGTAATGAAGGATAATTCGAACCCAGAGGTTAGAGGCTCCAACGATGGGATTTCTGGCCTCAGTGGGGTAAAAAGCTGATCCACTGGGGGTGTTCGAAGTCCAGGCCCCGAGGTTCCAGGCCTCCAGCTTCCAGGCCTCGGACTGTCTCCCAGCCAGAGACCTCCCCCCCCGCCCACCCTGTGCCTTCATCACTCACCTGCACTCTGACTCTAGTCTCCTCTTTTTGCTGACGGTGAATGCCAGGGAGGAAGAAGGACAGATAGATGGGCAGGATTAGTTGGGGCCCCCGGGGTCTCACTCAAGATAGGGGAGGGGAACACAGGGATGGAGGAGTTGCAGATGAGACCCTTCTAAGCCCTTCTGGGGGGCACTCACACTTGTAATAGTAAGTGCAGAAACCATGCTAAGGTAAGGAAGGGGTGGGTCAGAGCGTCCAGCTGCAGGACTCAATGAAAGGAGGGGCCTTGGTAAAGAGGAGGGGCTTAGTGAGGGGGCGGGACTTCAGGAAGGTGAGGAGCGGAGGGGGAGGACACTAAATTGAGGGGCGGGAGTCAAGGAAGGGGCGGGGCCGAGGCTCACACATGCAGATTCCGTGCTGCCCCCTGCCGGCCAAGGACTAGCACGCCAGGGACCTCTCCTCTCCGGCCTCTCCCACCCGCTCCGGCCCTGCGCCCTCTCACCGGCTTCTCCGGTGGCCGCCTTTCTTTTTCTTCTTCTTCTTGGCAGGGGGCGACGCCGAGCTGCTGGACCAGTGCTTGGTCCTGGGCGAGAAGGGGCGCGGACGGTGAGGGGGCGGCCCCACGCTACC